TAACAAATGTTGTTTTTATACAACACGGTTAAATTATAACCAAAAAAAAATGAGTGACCATTTGACATTTAACAATAAACAACAGAACGTAACAAATACAAAATTTATAATAATTTTAACTAAAAGCTGTTAAAAGGCAAAACGTCAAAAGATTTTATTAAGATGGTAGAGAGACAAAAAAAAATATAAATAAATTAAATTTAAAAAAATAAAACAAAAATAACGTGTTTCTATTAACATACATAAATAAATTTTATAAAATTTTATTTGCTGTATGTTCAAACATTACTACTTCAAAACAAATTTCTTGCAACATTTTAAATTAAAAATTTAAAAAATTTAAAAAAAATTAAGCTTCGACCGTGACAGGACTCGAACCTGCAATCTTCGGATTCGAAGTCCGACGCCTTATCCATTAGGCCACACGGTCCTTGTGTTTAACATCTAACGTTTGTTTAATATAAAACGCAAATTTTCATTAATTTCATGTAACTTGGTTAACAAGGGATGCTTTTCATTACAACTGACGAGAATTGTACGATGTTAGAAAAACTACCCTTAATGATGTTATTAACAGATGCGCATGCATCAATCCCCTATAGAATGAAATACATACATACATATACTAGACATCTGTATCATACTCTTAATAGGAACAGTAACCCGGTAGGAAAATTTAGAATTATATTTTGTTTTTTAAAACCTAAAACCTTTCCGGTTTAAGTTTTAATCATTTTTCAGTTTTCTTTATATATTTTTCTCTTACTAACACTCCCTTTAATGACCAGTTTATGATTTTTTGCAAAAAGTTGAAACAGAGTAAAAATGCTGAAAAGTAACTAATCATACTTTCAAGGTAAACTACAATTTGTATTTGAAACTATTAATTAATGCCAATACCAGGCAGTCAGAGGTACCACACCAGCAGCAAAATCTAAATAGTACATGTGTCATAAATATCAAGATTTTTTAATTTATGTTATTTATATTTTAACAAAATAAACCTTTGAACAAAATAAAGAATAAATTCAAGATCTAATAATTGTAATTTTAAAATTAAAATCTATAATTTTATAAAATGTTTACATAATAATAACTAAAATAGTAAAATAAAGCATAAAGGTCAAAGGAAAATCCCATGAACAATTCAATATCGTTATATAGAACAGAATATTTTTTCTTTACACTAAATAATTTGAATCAAACACATATTTAATTTAATATTAAAATAATTTTTTTTAGAAACTTCAATACCTCCTCCTTCACCCGGTATCGAACCTGGTATTTCAAAATTAAAGGTTTTGTAAGTTGGAACTTTAGCCTCTAGGCTACCGCAAGCATTACCTTACACTGCCAATTAAACTAAAGGGTATACTCTATTCGGCCTGGATTTTGAAAACTTTAGTTTATTTTACATTATTTAATTTTTCAACGAATTCCCAAATGACTTGTTTATCATTGACTTTTAAATAAGAAAAGCCACAAAAGAATTGAAACCACCATAAATGATTCATCAACACAATGTTTGTTTTTGCAGTAAATAATTAATTGTTTGTGTATTAAATTGAAATTAATTAAATGTAAGTTTTTAAACTGTATTATAGAAATGTCAAACAGAAATATACATATAACGGGTTTTTCAACAAGAAATATATAATTTCTAATGTTTTAAATCAAAACGAAAAAAAAAGCCCAGAAATTTTTTAAACAAGTTCTAGAACGAGTGCAAACAGAAGCACTTCAGATACTCGATTAGTATTCATGGAACTGGTATGTCGCCATTACTTCCAGTAAGAAGTTTAGTTAGTTAGTTAGTTAGTTAGTTAGATAGATAGTTAGTTAGTTAGTTAGTTAGTTAGTTAGGTAGTTAGTTAGTTAGTAGTTAGTTAGTTAGTTAGTTAGTTAGTAGTTAGTTAGTTAGTAGTTAGTTAGTTAGTAGTTAGTTAGTTAGTTAGTAGTTAGTTAGTTAGTTAGGTAGTTAGTTAGTAGTTAGTAGTTAGTTAGTTAGTTAGTTAGTTAGTTAGTTAGTAGTTAGTTAGTAGTTAGTTAGTAGTTAGTTAGTTAGTAGTTAGTTAGTTAGTTAGTAGTTAGTTAGTAGTTAGTTAGTTAGTTAGTTAGTTAGTTAGTTAGTTAGTTAGTTAGTTAGTTAGTTAGTAGTAGTAGTTAGTTAGTAGTTAGTTAGTTAGTTAGTTAGTTAGTTAGTTAGTAGTTAGTTCGTTAGTTAGTAGTGTTAGTTAGTAGTTAGTTAGTTAGTTAGTTAGTTAGTAGTTAGTTAGTTAGTTAGTTAGTTAGTTAGTTAGTAGTTAGTTAGTAGTTAGTTAGTTAGTTAGTTAGTTAGTTAGTTAGTTAGTTAGTTAGTTAGTAGTTAGTTAGTTAGTTAGTAGTTAGTTAGTTAGTTAGTTAGTAGTAGTTAGTTAGTTAGTAGTTAGTTAGTTAGTTAGTTAGTTAGTTAGTTAGTTAGTAGTTAGTAGTTAGTTAGTAGTTAGTAGTAGTTAGTTAGTAGTAGTTAGTTAGTTAGTTAGTTAGTTAGTTAGTAGTTAGTTAGTTAGTTAGTAGTTAGTTAGTTAGTTAGTTAGTTAGTTAGTTAGTTGTTAGTTAGTTAGTTAGTTAGTAGTTAGTTAGTTAGTTAGTTAGTAGTTAGTTAGTTAGTAGTTAGTTAGTTAGTTAGTTTAGTTAGTTAGTAGTTAGTTAGTAGTTAGTTAGTTAGTTAGTTAGTTAGTTAGTTAGTTAGTTAGTTAGTAGTTAGTTAGTAGTTAGTAGTTAGTTAGTTAGTTAGTAGTTAGTTAGTTAGTTAGTTAGTTAGTAGTTATAGTTAGTTAGTTGGTAGTTAGTTAGTTAGTTAGTTAGTTAGTTAGTTAGTTAGTTAGTTAGTTAGTTAGTTAGTTAGTTAGTAGTAGTTAGTTAGTTAGTTAGTTAGTTAGTTAGTTAGTTAGTTAGTTAGTTAGTAGTTTTTCATATTTTTTCAGGATTCATATTTACGGAATCTGTATATGTTGGGGATGGAGTCACTAGAGCAGGATGTAGAGTGAAGCAGTAGTGTATGGTATTTTCTTCACCCACATACCTATGGATGTGTCCGAAAGATCTGTGTGATCTGGGTTAAATCGTGATGGATGTTCTGTATTCCTGTGCTTGTGTTATTAATAAAGTTTCCTCTTTGTTCGATAATGTTCGGGTGTTTAGTACCAGACCTACCGCAGTGTATCCCCTATGTGTATGAAGCTTATTGATGAAGATCGTATTCGGTCTACTAAATTCATTCCTGCAGTGTGGTTTAGTTTATTGTTGAGAAATGTGATATGAAAATTGCCGGACTATAATTTCAGATACTGAGTAAATGAATTCTTGTACATGGATCAGCGTCAGTAATGATCACTTCAGGAATTTGTGCATTCATTCCACCCAAAATTACAAAGCTAGATCTTGGATCTTGAAATTTCACAATGACCCAGATTATATTACAACAAATCAATCTGTTAGTGATGAGTCTAAAGCTCACGTACAGAATCAACAAACTAACAGGTTTTATTTGAATTTTGTTCTAATTTGCGTAAAAATAGTCATTAAACTCGTTAAAGTTCAATTACCCGATTTATTGGTTCAAATAAAAAACGTTTTATTACAAAATATCTGTAATTAATTTATGCGATTTTTGATGAAAAATACGCATAAACGATAAAAAGCAAGTCACTTTCTTATTATAACAGTTTTCTGATCTTCTTTTACTTTGAAGCACTTGAAATAGGGGTCAACTGGGTCCCGATAATTATGAAAGTGGTGTAGGGTATAAAAAATTATAAGTTAAAAAATATTAAGGTTAGGGTTCAACAAAATCAACTTTTTTTCTCTCAATAAAGTCCATAAATCGACTAACTTTTACGATAAAAAGTCGAATAATCGATTATGTATTGTACATGAAAGTTGGAATGTCGCAAACAGCCGATATTATTAAGTTCAAAAAGTCAACAATTTCAAAATTTTAAATAGTCGAATAATGGACTTTTCATAAATTCAAATTTTCGACTTTTTGTTTCAACAATAAAATCCCAATATGCAACCTTTTAAACTACCAATCAATGTTGTGGTTAAGACAGTGAAACACTTATTGCAAATTCTTTAGCAATCGGCACCATAGTGTTCTGTTGCATGCACTCTATGTGTGAGTTCAACAGCAGCCAAAGGTTTAACCAGTCAGTCAGTTAGTTTACCCCATAGTGCTATCAACCTCTATAAATGAATGCATTAAGTGAACATGCTTTCGGTGCAATAATACTCAATCACTAGAACTATTAAGTCCTTGAATACAAAAAAAGGGAATGTATCGTGTTGCAAGGCACAACGGTAACAACAACTGCAAAACAAAAACAAAAAGTTAAGCTTTAAAATAACACCCAGCCAGGCAGTCAGACATACAGACAGTCGGTTATTCAAACGTCTCCATGGCATGACATTACCAACTTTTTCACTTTAAGCCATATTACACAAAAGCTTAAAAAGATAAACTTTTCGAACAGACAAAACAGAAGAACACGAACTCTATTTTGAGTGGTTTTTAATCTAAAAGAACCTGAATTTGAACAAAGGTAACCAGCACCAGCAGCAACTAAAGCAATTGTATAATAAAAATATTCGTAATAATAAATTTAAAATCAGTTTATCAACAGCTTTAAGCAATTTAATGCGTTGGTACGCGAACCAAAAGCCAAAAGTCGCAAAAAATCTGAAATAATAAAAAAACTAGACTTGCAACACTTAACTTGAGATATTATTTTTTCAATTATTTTCTGATTTTTCTTAATGTTTATTTATTTACATATTCGATACCATAATTTTTATTTTAAACCTAATGTATTTTATATTAAGCTCCTCCTGCCCACCTCTCAATCCCACAAACTGTTGATAACTCTTTTCTCTCACTGTGTTGATCACTCTCGTACATTTAAAAGCAGTTGTTTATGTTTTATTTTTTTTTCTTTCTTCTTCTTTTTATATCTTTGCAGAGCCAATAACTATTTTTTGTTTGGAATTTTTAATATATTATTTTTCAACCATACCAACAACAGCAACAAAATTGGTAATTTTACGAATTCGCTTTTTTTTACCAGTTAAGCAGTAACTTGGCTGATTTGGCCGTTTGTTTGTGATCGTGTGTTGTGTTTGTGTGTAACCGTGGGATATAGAGAGAGATGTCTAACATAAGACATCGCCCTCTGGCCCCACCGGGTACGGGCGACAGTGATGACAACTTTACAGATGATGAGAGTACACCATTGACACAAGATATTTATGGCGGAAGGTGAGTAGAAGAAAAAAACAATAATATGATAATGGCACACATATATGTGTGCATATGTATGTACATATGTATTTGTGTACAAAAATTTATTATTTAACCATTTAAGTAAGATTGGATTTTAAAGGAATTAATTCATTTAATGTTAACATTTTTAAAGTCTCTACACGGTATCGTTGCCCTAAATTGACTGTATTCTAGAATATAACCTAGAATATTCCTAACTATAGATTGGACTATGGGCTACAGTATAGACTAGATTACAAACCAACTTTTAAAATATATTATAAACTACACTATGAACGAGACCATAGACTAGACTATAGACTAGACTATAGACTAGACTATAGACTAGACAATAGACTAGACTATAGACTAGACTATAGACTAGACTATAGACTAGACTATAGACTAGACTATAGACTAGACTATAGACTAGACTATAGACTAGACTATAGACTAGACTATAGACTAGACTATAGACTAGACTGTAGACTAGACTATAGACTAGACTATAGACTAGACTATAGACTAGACTATAGACTAGACTATAGACTAGACTATAGACTAGACTATAGACTAGACTCTAGACTAGACTATAGACTAGACTATAGACTAGACTAGACTAGACTATAGACTAGACTAGACTATAGACTAGACTATAGACTAGACTATAGACTAGACTATAGACTAGACTATAGACTAGACTATAGACTAGACTATAGACTAGACTATAGACTAGACTATAGACTAGACTATAGACTAGACTATAGACTAGACTATAGACTAGACTATAGACTAGACTATGGACTAGACTATAGACTAGACTATAGATTAGACTATAGACTAGACTATAGATTAGACTATAGATTAGACTATAGACTAGACTATAGACTAGACTATAGACTAGACTATAGACTAGACTATAGACTAGACTATAGACTAGACTATAGACTAGACTATAGACTAGACTATAGACTAGACTATAGACTAGACTATAGACTAGACTATAGACTAGACTATAGACTAGACTATAGACTAGACTATAGACTAGACTATAGACTAGACTATAGACTAGACTAGACTATAGACTAGACTATAGACTAGACTATAGACTAGACTATAGACTAGACTATAGACTAGACTATAGACTAGACTATAGACTAGACTATAGACTAGACTATAGACTAGACTATAGACTAGACTATAGACTAGACTATAGACTAGACTATAGACTAGACTATAGACTAGACTATAGACTAGACTATAGACTAGACTATAGACTAGACTATAGACTAGACTATAGACTAGACTATAGACTAGACTATAGACTAGACTATAGACTAGACTATAGACTAGACTATAGACTAGACTATAGACTAGACTATAGACTAGACTATAGACTAGACTATAGACTAGACTATAGACTAGACTATAGACTAGACTATAGACTAGACTATAGACTAGACTATAGACTAGACTATAGACTAGACTATAGACTAGACTATAGACTAGACTATAGACGACTATAGACTAGACTATAGACTAGACTATAGACTAGACTATAGACTAGACTATAGACTAGACTATAGACTAGACTATAGACTAGACTATAGACTAGACTATAGACTAGACTATAGACTAGACTAGACTAGACTATAGACTAGACTAGACTATAGACTAGACTATAGACTAGACTATAGACTAGACTATAGACTAGACTATAGACTAGAATATAGACTAGACTATAGACTAGCCTATAGACTAGCCTATAGACTAGACTATAGACTAGACTATAGACTAGACTATAGACTAGACTATAGACTAGACTATAGACTAGACTATAGACAAGACTATAGACTAGACTATAGACTAGACTATAGACTAGACTATAGACTAGACTATAGACTAGACTATAGACTAGGCTATAGACTAGACTATAGACTAGACTATAGACTAGACTATAGACTAGACTATAGACTAGACTATAGACTAGACTATAGACTAGACTATAGACTAGACTATAGACTAGACTATAGACTAGACTATAGACTAGACTATAGACAAGACTATAAACTAGACTATAGACTGGACTATAGACTAGACTATAGACTAGACTATAGACTAGACTATAGACTCGACTATAGACTGGACTATAGACTAGACTATAGACTAGATTATAGACTAGACTGTAGACTGGACTTCAGATCAGACCTAGGCTAGAGTTTCCTAAGTATCATGAAGAATGTTTTCTAATAGTGTGATCAATAATACTAAGCACTTTCAAGAGTTAAAAATAGCAGTCACATAAAGAGTATGATAGCATTACTTTTCAGCTTAAAGACCCTTGCAATATATTAAAAAAGATGTTTCTATTTTCGTATAAGTAGTAGATATCCATAGTAATTTTTATTAATTTTTCCAAGATATCTCTTGCAAATCTACAACATTTTCATACAATGTTGTCGTGTATTTTCTTTATACAATGAAAAAAAAAAACTACGCAAAAATTATACTTTATGCGAAATTTCTTTCATGGCCTTAAGTAACCAAGTCAGGAACAATAAGTACTGTAGGAGGAAAAGAAACTATACTTTAGACATAGACTTTGTCTACACGTTTTATCAACCTCAAAACATCTTCTGTAAACATATAAATCAAACATTTTTAAAAACAAATCGTTAAAATGTTTTTAATAAATGATTGTTGAAAGCGTCATTTGACTACTAAAATTACAGCAGTAGCAGCAACAGGCAGCAGTTGTTGTTTAATTTCTTTCAATTTGATTGATGATTTAATAAAAAACCAAGCAATTTTATTGTTACATATGCATATTTTTATATACTGTTCCAAACTTTAAATAATTATTTATTCTTATGAAATTTTTATCTTTTTACATGATTTTTTTAAACAAGCTGCGACGACCATCCCATGTTGGAGTTTATGATAAAATGAATATTTAAATTTAATTGCTTTTCTATCATGATTAAAAGTTAACCAAAGACCCCAAGAAATGGAAATAAATAGTTATGTATC